GACACACAATACATCAGCAAAATGACTCAAACTTACATAATGAAAAGAAACAATAACAAAAGACGTGTGTGTTCAGGTTAATCAAAGAGGATTGAACATTTGGAGACGTGACAAGTGAGACTGGAGAGCTGAATATAAAGATGGATCAGCTTGAACAAACACTTCAGCGATTGAGTTGTTTACACAAGAATTTAAACTTGAAATGTTTGGATATTGTATAATTGTGTTGTCATGAGCTTTGCGAATTAAGACATTAAACATCTGAAATTGAAATTTATACAAACTTTATTCCTTTAATGTGTGAGAAATATAAAGCGGCAACAAAAAATAATAATAATTTTGACGTTGCCATTGTGGATCCAAATCATAAGTTGGTGTTTTGAACACTAAATCACATTCATTTCTTCCCAGACTTCTTGATTTCTCCTCAAGCTATGGAAAGAAAACAATGAGAAATGTTTGTTGACAAAAGCTTTATAGAAAGATTTTTCTACATTAGATGAATAAACTCATTTAAAACAGCATTTAAATGTCATATTAAGGAATGACAGGTTTGTTTTGTCTCTTACTTAAAGGTCCTTCCGAGCGGCTTTGGCTTTCAGTTGTTCCACTGCTTTCTGTTTCAAGGCTATGTCCTTCTGTAGTTTGTAAATAAAACAAGGAATGGGTGCGATTCATCAAGTAATTAAATGTACAAACCATTAGAGCAATCAAACTTTGACTGGAAGGTAAAATTCTGATTACTCTAAAAACGTGTAGCTTATCGGTCCACAAAAATGTTTAATACATAAATGTAGAGTTGATCAATTCTGCCCCTACCATCTGAATGTTTCTGCAGAAATGGAGACTCCTCAGACAACGTTTTCCCCTCAGAAGCAACATTTTCCCCATCTTTTATTGCACTATTTTGATGCGCCCGTCCGATTTTTTTACTGTAGCCCATTTGTTTCAAAGCTCTCCGTGTTGTGCGTTCAGAGATGCTCTTTTGCACACCTTGGTTGTAACGTGTGGTTATTTGAGTGACTGTTGCCTTTCTGTCAGCTTGAACCAGTCTGGCCATTCTCCTCTGACCTCTGGGATCAACCAGGCTTTTTCTCCCACAGAACTGACGCTCACTGGATAGTTTCTCTTTTTCGGACCATTCTCTGTAAACCCTAGAGATGGTTGTGCGTGAGAATCCCAGTAAATCAGCAGTTTCGGAAACACTCTGACCAGCCCGTCTGGCACCGACAACCATACCACGTTCAAAGTTACTTAAATCCCCGTTTTTGCCCATTTTCTTCCGCTCACCGTGTTCGTTCGCGCGCGCCTCATCTATTGCGCGGGTGCGTGCGCACTCTTTTCTTCTTCTTCTTCTTCTTCTTCTTCTTCTTCTTCTTCTTTTCCATCATGGCGGATTGCAAGCAACTTTTGGTGCATACCGCCACCTACTGTTCATGAGTGTGTAGCAACATTGTTTTACATCAATTTAATTCTATTTTTTAATTTTGTATTCTGAAGATAAATAAATAATGCTTTCCTTAATCTATAAATATCTTTTATATTTCCTTTATTTCCCAATAATCCTTTAAGACTCCATTCTTGGCCTGTCCTTTCAACTACTCTTCTCAATTTCTCCCTTTCAGGTTCATATGTTTTACAGTTCATCAATACATGTTCTATATTTTCTATCTCTCTACATCCTTCACATTTATCATGCACGCACTCTCACAGGCTCCGATTGGTTAAGAGGCAAGATCGACGTATCACGTGATGTTAAGATCCTCAGCTATCATTGGTTCGTGCGTCGTCATGTTTACGATTTTCGCCGAGTTTTGCCGAACTTACTTATTACGTTTTCATGAGGCAAATTTGTATTATTTACCAAGGGAAACTCACAGAATGGACTCCTTTTTGAGGAAAACATCCTAAAATAAAAGTCTATGTATCATCTTGGCTACTTTTAGCTCAGAGATAAGCTAATCAGAGCTGAAACTTAATGTTTCTCCTAATTTGTTTACAAAGATCATCTTCAAAATCCATTCGGTATATTTGATCTGTTGTGTTATGTCGACATTATAAACTACATAACTATAATCTTGAGAATGAAAGATTTTGTTTAATATATGGGTTGCTATGTTCATCAAACATGAACGATATTGGAAATATTCAAATTAATAAGTCATACATACCTTTGTATCGGTATATTCGTTGTCGTTACAGGAATTTAAACATTAAAATGTTACTATATGTAAAATGAAATTTTTAAATTATGCTTTTTTGTGATATAAGTATATATAAGCTTTGTAATGATACCACAATTGACTTTCAAGGTTTAATCAGGACTTTGAAATATTAAAGGACGGTCCTAATTACGTAATCCCAGACCCAGTACCAGGTGCTGACGTAAGACGCTGCTGATGTGTGTCTGGTGTGTGTATGTGTGTGTGTGTGTATTCTGGTTCTGTTGTGGATCCGCGTTCAGTGCCGCCGCTGATGTAAGACGCTGCTGACGTGTGTC